TCATGATGTTTTTTATCTTGCCCGCAGCAGTCACTGCATGGATGACATCCACCAGATATCTTATCCATATAGAAGCCCTTGTGACATGTTCCTAGACACTTTGTGGTATCTGATTCAGGGGTACACTCTCCAGACTTTTTCTCATGTTTGTCACAGTTTCAGCAACTTTTGCAGGTGGTGTAATCATGACTGTCTGAGAAATTTACCCCACCAATACAAGGGATACATTTTATTGGTGTGCTAATTGAGACACTAGAAGCACAAGGCACAGTTGCTCCATGCCCCATTGGGCATTTTAACATAGTACATTTCCAGAAAATGGAATAAGTAGCATTTATTACTCGTTCTATTTCATCAGGTCCTGGCTTTCGACGTTTTTGAATATTCCCAAATGCTTCATATAAAACAACAGCCAACTGCAAAACAGTTTTTTAACTTTATTAAGAACTTAATTTATTAACACACAAGCACATGTACACAAGCAGAGGTTATTACTTCTCAGAAATTACATGGAAAGAGAAACATCAACAACCGTGTCATTGCTATCAGAAATGATTACAGGTCTATTCCAACCAAAGTCTTAACTCCATGTCATTTTAAAGATGTAAATTTTAAGTTATTTTTACAGCAGGTCCAGACCTGTCCTTGGGGTTGCCTCAGACTGACCTACCTCAACAAAAAGTATATGTATGTATGCATGTACACATATGTACCCATTTTTACCAGATTTTCCCAATCGTGTTCACAAAAATGTAAAATAAAAAATCAAGCACAACTAAAACTAAGGGCACAATAATATAGATATAACTGTTGCTCAAGTAAGCACGGTTATGACAGCATTCGCAATTTGGCGTTTTATATGCGACAAATTTAACATTCACTCGAAGACAGGAGCAAAAGTAACGTAAAAAAAAAGGTTTCAGAACATGTTGTCAAGAAACTGGTTGAAAATAAGTAGGAAATACACTTTCAATTCATGATGACATTATTTTGAAGAAAAAACCTTCGCACAGCACACTACAATAAAATGATAAATTTTTTTTCGTTTCTCTGGAAGACTGTAATAGAAATCTTGATCAACGAAGGGTGCGTGAGCTTCTGAGTGAAACCCTCGCGATGAAACTTACTGCGACATAGTTGTTAGCGAGATAAGTTATGAAAAAAATCTGTAAAGCAGTTATAGATTCCGATTTTACTTTACTAAGCTAACAGAAAGCGCGTAAAGGGCGTGTGACGATAAATCAAATTACTCCATTTTCAATCATTTTCTTGCGCGTTCTGAAACTTTTTTTAGAAATACTGTACTAATAATATTATGCTGATTTGCAACTTTAATTGTGATCACCTACCAAACAACAAATGATCTTTGCTGTTTTCATGATGCCGCTGCGTAGATAAGCAGACCACAGTCGTCATGCACACACAGATCTACAGAATACAATTTCAAGAGGATTTAGGTCAGCTGTTAAGAGATTTTTCGTCATTGATGGAAGTTTACATCGTAAATTTCATCATCAAGCGTACGCAAAAATTTTCTGGAGGTTAGGCGAAGCAGCAGTTTATCAGAATTGCACAAAAACTTACCTCCTTAAGTGCAAATTCTACAGCCAATATTATTTTAAACTTATGGATAGATAACTCGAGTACTGTCGCTGCTCCAAAGTTATTTACAGCCGTTGCATGGAGATTTTGCTGAGGTATCATATATGCATGAAAACGTACGTGAGATATTGCTGATCGATTACGTAAACCGTTTGTAATGCGCCTGCGCCGATGACTTACTAAATGACGGATCATGACTGCGAGGGAGCGTGAAGAGTTTGGTTTGACATCACTTTGGATCCCACTTCGGATCCCTCCGGATCCGAAGTGATGTAATTCAACCAATTTGCGTGTTTTTAAATGAGTATGAAAAATAATATGGTGTTTTAAAATGGACGGCGAATAGCTTCCATCTTCTGAGTGAGATTCAGTGTTTCATCAGGCTTCCATGACAATTTGCAAGTTTGCAAGATGGCACAGACATAAATGTCCTATCATAGATCTCCCATACCTTTCTGACTGCAACGATATCCAGGAGGTAGTTTTATACATACTGGTAAAACTGCCTCATGAAAAACAAAAATTCCTTGTATAGTAGTAAGGTGCAAAATTAATCTTTGATAAAGCTCATCTATAACACAATACAATATTTACTAAAAAAGTGGCTCTTGAATACATATAACTCCATCATAAGAAAAAAATTAATCTTCTCAAATAATCACACTTCATTATTACAAGCAACATGTATAAAATTTACTACCCTATTTGAAAAGTCTAGTGATGTTAAAAGTTAAAAAATTTTAAATTTTAGAGTCAAATTCATCATTTTACAATTATGCTGATAAGAGCACATGAAAGGGTTAATTTTGGTAAAACAAACTTGACCTTATTTTGATTCATTACGCAGTTTCACTATAAGTGAAACATCTGTGCATAAAGAGATTATCTCATATTACATAAAATGATATGATTACCAATGATTGCAGAAATTTATTGCTCCTTTTGGAATAGAAGTAATGGTGACAAGAAAACTCTTTGAGCTTCGGTTAAAACAAAGTAAACTTTACGATTGTGACTTTAAAAGTAACATTGAACTAATATTATGCAGCCAACACAGGCAATCATTTCTAGCTAGTAGTTAATTAAAGCAAGCTACTGTAACACACACAGTTGTAACAAGTAGATGGTAAAAATTATACAGCTATTTCAATTTACGTTGTTGGATCAAAGCCTCAAGCCTACAAGACAAGACTGAAGGGGAATATGGGATCTTAATGAATAATTATCGGCAAAATTAACAATGCCTTGTCCAATACTTATTGTATTTTCAGCCTCCATGTCCATCTCGCGCCGACAACCCTGAAAGCCTAAAATTAATTCTAATCTACCCATACCGCCTTTCGGTCTTGTCCCGTACCCTTGAAGCTTTGATCCGACAATGTAAATTGAAATAGCTGTATATTGATTCAATGTATTCTGCAATCTACAATTGACTTGATCATCTTTAAAGAAATTCATAGTGGAAACAGAATTCAATCAATGCCAAATGCCAGCATTTAGCTCCTAACATCAACAGTTTAAAGCTATAGCTTCACAGAAATTCTGGGTGTTAAAGGGCTCAAGATAAATAGACTAAAGCTTTCAACCCTGAGAGTGAGCGGCATCTAAGTTCTCCCTTTGGTAATGCTGCTAAATTATTCATTAAGATCACAAGACTGAAAGAAATGATCACCAGCCTAGGAGGATTTCGATTGATTGTTAAACAAATTCTCCTTGTAAGTACCAAAGGAAATGTATCGAAGAGTGTGTAGAATATGAATAACGATGTTTAGGTGTAAAGGTTTAAGGATCATTGTAATCTTTGAAGAAAGCAACATGTATCAGATGCTATATAGTTTATGTTCCTCTAAATCACTCTTGAGGGCTGAATATTTTCTTGCCACTCAAACAGAATCCAGTCCTTGATTTCAGTAACAACATCATCTCTTCCCATTTCTTCAAGAATGATTTTAAATCTTTCCACACAGGTTTCTTTCTTTGAGTCAAAGTGCCGTAAGATTTCTTGTGTTTGATTACCCTTCTGTTTTAGCAACAAGATGGCATCTTTGTCCACACCAACTTTTTCCCCAAGGAGGCGATAATCATTCCAACTTATATCCTGCAAAACATCCAGTTTCTGACAAATCTTGCAGTAAAACTGGTAACGTATCTTAGCAACTTTTTGGCTGAGCAGAGAGTCAAGGAATTCTTGGGGAATGTCAGAAATTTGTGGGAAAGAAGCTGTTTGGTCAAAAAGCCCTGTTGTGGAGGTGGATGTAGATTTTTTCCCAAGTCCTATAACAAATAAAACAATTATGTCTATTTAGTAAATAGCTTAGTTTCAACTAGGTGGATACTGAAACTTGAAGTGGAATTTATGGGATAATCAGAATTTAACATAATAGAGATTTAATCACCATGTCAGGGTTGTTTATTATATTCAGTTTTCCACTCCAAGATTAAACTGTACTTTAAACTTCATTTTGTTAAATGAAAAAGTTACATAGCAGTTAATTCCTCACAATTAAAGTGAACCTGTTCCTCCTAGATGCAGCTACAATCAGTGTCAAAATTAGTTGACACATCATATTTGAAGAGTTCTGTTCATGTATAGAATAACACTCCAGAACTGTTTCTACCACACTCTAAATTATGGACAGGACCCCCCTCCCCCATTCCATGTTGCCTGTATGTAGAAAAAAGAGCACAATATTACTGCATTCTGGCTTCTTTTTAAATTGGATACC